CACCCTATTACATGTGCTACATTAACATGGAGGCTTGGCTTCTTTTTGACTTGGTACATACATTTTTCTAGCAATTTTAAGCCAGTGTATATGATATGACTTTCAGACTGCTAGTCTAAAACCTTTGTCTAAAGAAAATGTTTAGTTAACAGGGAAGGCAGAAGTCAGATTTCAAGGCATTTGGGTTGTGGTTTGTGTTTCTTTCCCCCTGACTTTCTGTTTATGCAATTGGTATGTATGAACCAGTGAAAAATTTACTTGGTATCAAAGTAGGGTACAGGAAGGAATGCAATCTCATCGGAAGTGAAGAAAGCAGCCAATCTTGCATTTCACAAGCCTTGGAAATCTGACTTGATCTTGGGAACATACAAACCTTGATAAGAAAGAGTTTGGTTGCATTTTGAAATACTCGCGGTTTAGATGTGGCATTTGAACCAAGGAAATCTCAAGGAGTGCTTGTCCTTGGGTTGTATTCAGTGACAGATGTGATTTCTAGAACTTTGCAACAATTTCTTCTCAATGTTTCTGTCTTGTAGTTTGAAGAGGAATTTTTGGAGACAAGAGAGCAGTATGAGAAGCTGCTTCAAGGTAAGCCTGTGATGAACCAGGAAACATTTGGCCAGAAACATCAAGCAGAATCCCTGCTGGAGCAGAAGCAAAGGGAAGGCAGGACATATGAGCAACAGAGAGAGAGAGAGAACTACAGCCTTGTATTTCAACCAGGGGTCCCTGTATTAACATTTGATTCCTTCATAGCAGCAATGACTTGCATCTGGAGTTGCCTTCTCATGAATGGACAGGGGCTGCAACCCCCTGGTAACTTTCCCTGAGCCGAGGAGATCTTTTTGCCCATTCTCCCATAGCTAGGGTTGCCATTTGTTCTGAAAAACCTGGAAAATCCCAGATTGAATGGACTTCTGGAATTCTGGATTTCTCCTTTGTGGTGGGTCGATTGGTAGGTTAAAATGTGCCAGTGGCTATGAAGCAGGAAACTGTGCAATAAGTCTGGCACTGGCAGGAGCCTCATTCCACCATGCAGGCCCTGCACAGATATGGCATTATCACTTTATTCTTCCATTTCCTCCCCACTTTCCCCAACAGGCCCAGAAAGTGGAAAAGGAAATGAGTCAAGCAGAGATGCCCTTCTCTTGTGTAGTCATTGTGTTGCTGGCTTAAGGCTAGGGCTAGGCAGCACGGTGGAACCGCTTCCAGCCAGCCTCAAGAGAGTAAAGGCAGTCTTTGAGGTTGCTTGGAACAGGACAACAGATTCCACAATCACTAAATGTAATTATGCATAGAGTCCAGATATACACAATAACATCCAAAATCCACAAACCAATGATACTTTATTCAGCCAGCTAAAATGCATAAAGTATATGATGAAAGCTTTTGAAGCTTCACTGGCTTCTTCATCAGGCAAGAGTGTTAGGAATTGTACAGGAGGGAAAAAATTATAAAATGAGGATATTAGTCACAGGCTTGCATTTTCTTAAGGTGTTGTTGGTGCGTTGTTCTTTGGAGGGATATCTATGCAAGTGAGTCCTGATATGTTATACAAAAAGCTCAGAAGATAATAATTAAATAAATGATAGAAACTACTCAGACAGGATACTGACAGAATTGAAGACATCCATTCCCAGGATATTAAACTAGACGTTTAATCCCATTGGTCTTTATCAGTTTGTTTTCTTCAATTAATATTGTTATAGTCCCTCCTTTTCACTCATAAGGACTGAGTTTATAAGTAACTGACACCTAAATTAATAAACACAAACAGTATAATGGGTATATGTTTTAAACTGAATCCGTTAAACACCAACTACATGAGATTACTTGCAAATTGAGAACTCCTCAGGAATTAAAAAAAAAAACAATTTTCGTACTTCTAAGCCACTGCACCTATTCAATATCAAGTATGCTGGGAATCCATATGTATTTGTTCTAATCCTCTTTACCATCATAGATAACTACAAACAATAACCACATGCAAATGCACGTAGTATAAGAAAAATGCCAAACTTATTTCTCTATGGGTTATGCATAATTCATTTAGTGATTGTGGAATCTATTGTCCTATGTTTGTAATTGCATAACCATATTGTGTACCATGTGTCTTTTTTGTGACACAACTGCTCAATTTTGAAGTGCCTATAAATTGTTTTGATTATAATGAAGTCACATATTTTGGTACACTTTATAAACAATAGATATATTTGCAGCATATTCCTTGATCCATTCTGGAGGTTTCAGTGTTTAATCTGTCAGAGGGATGAGTACTGAAGTTTCTGTATGTTATATGTTGAATTCCACTCAGGGAAATCTAGGATCCAAGCCAATGACAAGTATCTTCCATCTAACAAAATGGGGCACTGAACAAGCTTTCTCTGTGTATACCTCATACACTGGTTTCATTGTGCTCCGCTACCTGATGTTTGATGTTCCAGCACCAC